ATATATATATATATATATATATATATATATATATATATATATAGTATAATGCATTATACATGTACATATATTAAAATTTTTTACAATTTAATGACAAACTCAAAAAATATTAGAAGAACTATGCATGCTTTATATTCATGGCAGATCTTTAAAAAACCTTAAACACATAGCATCTACACAGAAAAGTCACTAAACATGTACAGAAATGTAAATTGAGTGGGTTGAAGCAATGACTTGCTTCACACAGTATCTCCCCTAATGCGCTGCTGCAACGGCCTGTCTGCGGTATTAACCTAATCTCCCTTCACAAAAACATGTGAGAGAGGGAATAACAGCACCTTTGCTATACCAACCTGATTTTATAAATCTGAAAGATCCCATAATATGTGGGAGTTTGAATGTAGTATGCAAAAACTGGAGGGAACAACGAGAGAAACAAACAGCAGGTGGCGCTAACTACAAAGAATTGTAGGTTTTTTGTTTTGTTTTGTTTTTTTTACAAAGAATTGTGGTTGCGTTTTTGTCGTGCATTAACTATCACTATGTCATTGTTCTTGAGTTATGCAACAAAATTTTGCTTCCAATGATTTTAATCCCAAATATTGTGTTTTAATACTCGGTTTTCAACTTTTAGAAATGCAGGAAACACCACCAAGACCAGCCCAGGGACCCTAGTGATAAATACAGTCTAAAAACTTTCATTAAAAACATTAGGTCGCATTCCATACACAGATTGATATTAATATTATATAATAATTGTATGTATATATATATATATATATATAAATTGTGTGTATATATATATATATATATATATATATATATATATATATATATATATAGTATAATGCATTATACATGTACATATATTAAAATTTTTTACAATTTAATGACAAACTCAAAAAATATTAGAAGAACTATGCATGCTTTATATTCATGGCAGATCTTTAAAAAACCTTAAACACATAGCATCTACACAGAAAAGTCACTAAACATGTACAGAAATGTAAAGAATAAGACATGTTTGATCCTCCATAATCTACAGTTATAATACAGGTCATACATAAAGTGATTGAAATCCCCAAATGCTTTACTTCATGATATATAGTGCATCATGTTTCCATGTAGGCTTCACTGTCTGTGTGTGTGTGTGTGTGAGACCAGTGTGATTTGACGGACGTCGACACGAACCAATAGCATCATTAGTGAACGCCAAGACGCTCTTCACTCCACCAATCAGCGCTTAGAGGAGGTGGGACTTTTGGTCCTGTGCTGCCGTGTAATTCGTGCGGTACAATTAGTTATAGCGCACGCCCGGACAACGGAGCAAAGGTTGGGTACCACTCTGACGGGAGAGAGCTTTTCTTTTGATTCAGTGTATTTAAAAGGAACTTTCTGATGACGGCTGTTCCTTTCTTTTGAGCGCAAATGATCGCGCGCGCACGTTTATCGCCATTTTACACCAGCGCGTGCCATGGACGTAAAATGTTATCGGGATGAATCCCCCGCCGCTTTCCATCGGTAAGCAAAACGAGATGTGCCTGACTTAGCTTTGTTTGCCGTCAAATAACATGAGCGGCATCCGTTGTCTGGAATCCGAATGAAAGCCTGCGCATTGCGGTGCGGTTTGTTTTCATTTCTTCTCGTGTTTTGGAGCGTCGGGCATCCCCTCCTCTCCCACGCATCACCTAATCGATAATCGATTGCATGGACTTGGGGCAGATGTCACGCTTTCTTCTGTGCCATCATCGCTGCATGTGATACATCGCAGCTCTATTTGGGACATCACTGGCTCTCCTGTGTCATAAATGAAAAACAAACTCTACCCTCTAAAATTCACACCACCATGGGAGAAGAATGCTGGCTTTGGAAGGAAACACAAGTCTTGCACGAGAAACCACACCAAAATAATCGCCAACCCTGGAATCGTGATGAAAGTGCTACGGCGGAAGAAGATCATCATGCTTCTGGCCTATTTTCTGCTGGTGGCTTTGACCATGCTGAACCTGGCTAATTACAAATGGACCAAAGAGCCACAGCAGTGCAACCAGCCCATGCAGGGAGTGAACTTCCAAAGCAGATCAGACATCCGTTACCTTTACAAAGCCCCGCAGGTCAAGAAAAGGCAGCTGGTGTACGTGTTGACCACTTGGAGGTCCGGCTCGTCCTTTTTCGGGGAGCTCTTCAACCAAAACCCAGATGTGTTTTTCTTGTATGAGCCCATGTGGCACATTTGGCAGAAGCTGTACCCGGGGGACGCCGTGTCCCTCCAAGGAGCGGCCAGGGACATGCTGAGCTCTCTTTACAGGTGCGATTTCTCAATTTTTCAGCTGTACAACAGTCCTGGGGGGAAGAACATAACCTCTCTCGGACTGTTTGGGGCCGCCATCAATAAGGTCATCTGCTCCTACCCCTTCTGTACGTCCTACAGGAAGGATGTGGTTGGAATGGTGGACGAAAAGGTTTGTAGAAAGTGCCCTCCACAGAGTCTTCAGATGCTGGAGGAGGAGTGTTTAAAGTACAACACAGTCGTGATCAAGGGAGTTCGCATTTTGGATGTCAACGTTCTGGCCCCCCTGATGGAATTTGGCAGAAGCTGTACCCGGGGGACGCCGTGTCCCTCCAAGGAGCGGCCAGGGACATGCTGAGCTCTCTTTACAGGTGCGACTTCTCCGTTTTTCAGCTGTACAACAGTCCTGGGGGCAAGAACATAACTACTCTCGGACTGTTTGGGGCCGCCATCAACAAGGTCATCTGCTCCTCCCCCTTCTGTACATCCTACAGGAAGGATGTGGTGGGAATGGTGGACGAGAAGGTTTGTAGAAAGTGCCCTCCACAGAGTCTTCAGATGCTGGAGGAGGAGTGTCTAAAGTACAACACTATCGTGATCAAAGGAGTTCGCATTTTGGACGTCAACGTTCTGGCCCCCCTAATGGAGGACCCTTCTTTGAATCTGAAAGTGATCCATTTGGTGCGAGACCCCAGGGCGGTGGCCAACTCCAGGATTAAATCCCGGCACGGACTCATACGGGAGAATTTGCAAGTCGTACGCAGCAGAGACCCCAAGCTTCGTCGTGTGCCATTCGTGGACCCCAACCACAAAATGAACAAAAAAGACGGGTCAGATTACCACTCCATTGGAGCCATGGAGGTGATCTGCGAACAAATGTCTAGAACTCTGAAAACCGCTCTTCACCCTCCCACCTGGTTCAAAGGCAAATACATGACGGTACGCTACGAGGACCTGGTGGAGAACCCCATTAAAACTGTTCGGAATGTTTACCGCTTCGTTAATCTTTCAGCCAATCACGACATTGAGATCTTTGCTATGAATATGACGACAGGACCGAACGCCTCCACCAAACCGTTCATCGTGTCCTCCAGGAACGCCACGCAAGCGGCCAGCGCCTGGAGAACTGTGTTGAACTACCAGCAGATCAGACAGGTGGAGGAGTACTGTCAGCATGCCATGTCTCTGCTGGGATACCTGCGCGTCCGCACGGCCGGGGAGGCTAAGGATTTGAGCAGACCATTATTGACAGTGCCCAAAATATGAACCACCGCCAAAGACATTTGATGTTTTGCATTTGTGCTGATAACAGCCTGAAACTCATTCTGTACGAACTGTTATTTATGTTCAATGCTTAATGGCTCAGTGGAATGTATCTGTTTGCATCATACTGTGCACAGCCACTTATTGTATGTTGGGACCAGAATATTGTCTGCATCACCACATGTTTGACCAAATAAGAGAAGAAAAAAAAACTTTGTGTATGATGTGTCATTGATCATTAAAGCTACGCCAAGACATTTATTTAATCGAAACATTTAGATTTGGCATTCCCTGATTTCAGGACTGTATAAACTAAAGGGACGTCTATCTAAACAGCAATAGTCTCACTGTCCTGTGTGTCTAATTTAAATCAGCTGAGACGTGCTCTAGTTCCTGTCGACTTTTTCTCTGGGTTAACATATCCATAAACGGGTCATTCTTGTTATGCAGTACATTTCCGTGTCCCCGTCGTGTCTTAATTTAAGGGATGAAATATTAAACCGTTTTTAAAGATGAAAGTCATGTTAGTTTTCTTTTATCCCAGTATCACAATGAAGTGGGTGAATTTAACATGAAAACTGGCATTTATCAAAAGGATAGCTTAACCAAGCATATACGTGTTTCTGAGCAACATAAGATGTATTTTAAGAATGTGTTCAGTGTTGTTTTGAATTACAATTACTTTCACTTTATAGACAAAAACAGCTGAAACATTCTTTAAAATATCTGTTTTTGTGTTCCACGGAAGAAAATCAGTCATTTAGGGTTAGAATGACATGAGGGTGAATAAATGATAAAAGAGAACTAATTTTTTGGGTGAACTATTCCAGATGGTACTATTTGTTCCCTTTCTGTATCTATCTATCCATCCATCCATCCATCCAGATCTCTTTTGTAATATTACTGTAACTAACAAAAGCCAGTTCCTTAATGATATCATCCTTCAGGAAGTGAAATATTTCCATCAAGAAAACAGCAGTAGCATTATTAGTGGAGTACTTGATGATTTTTGTGCTATTATTCGGTTTGTACACTCAGCATTCCATTTTTTTGTGATATAATGACAGAAATCATTAACTGTAAGTTGCAGCCCTCGTGCAAGTCAGTCTCTCTGAGTTATGGCTAACTTTAGCTCTTCATTTCTTATCTGTTATGTAAGATCTAATTAAAGGTGCTTGAGCTCGACCTGATATTTCTAAGATTTTTCTACACTCCTTAATAGAAATGCTTAGGGAGCTTCAAAGATACTGCGTAACAGGAATGACCCAATCACTGCATTAACATGGTTTATGTAAGAAGTTTTGTAAGTCACTCTCAGCTGCATGCTTTCTTTCAGTTCCACTTCTAAGGCAATACAAGAAGTCTGGGTTTCCCTTTTTTGATGCAGAATTGTTGTCATTAATACACATAAGGTTAGTAAAGGAATTATAACTCTTTGCCGTGCCCTGATTTGAATGTGGCCCGTAGAACTGCATTCTTAAAACGCATCCAGCAGGTTTTAATTTAGCTAATTTCTCGGCATGCAAGTCTGGTTTAATCAAAAAGGAAATTAATGTGTGATTACAGTATATGATTCTCTATTGAGTATCTTCACTTCTGGGTTTGGTAGGCATGTGGATATCCCAACATTTTCAAAAATACAGCCTCCCTTGTAGCAAAAGAGCACGCCACTTTGACAGTATGCAAATATTTTAACATATAATCTGCATTTCCTTCATTCATGTTAAAATCCGCTGGAAATCTGGACAGATTCACTATAGACTGACGGCTGTGTTTATCATCCCCTGGTCTCACATTTGCGTCGTACGTTTATCATTTAAATCACAGGGCGTATTGACACATTTTAATTGAAAATCTGGCTTTCTCAAAGTATCACTAGGTCACACTACGTTTAATGTTCCATTCACTTCTTCAAATGCAGGAGAATGGGAATGCAAATGTCTAGAAGATTTTCTTTCACTGTGTAACTTCAAATTTGCTTCAATACAACAAAATTCAAAGGGACATGATTGCAGAAATGCAGTAGATAGTATTTAACATTTGGATTTAGGATTATTTACTGTTTCTAACTGATGACAAAATATTCTGGTGCATGGCCTGAAGTAATTTGGCATATTTAAAGTTTTTAAAGAATATTTAAAATATTATTTAGAACCTTCTTTTCTTTAAAGAATCCTGTGGGTGTTTCCACAAAATATTATAGGCAGTGCAATTGTTTCCAACACTGATAATAAGGAATGTTATTTGAGCAGAAAATCAGCATATTATCATCCTTCAGGAAGTGAAATATTTCCATCAAGAAAACAGCAGTAGCATTATTAGTGGAGTACTTGATGATTTTTGTGCTATTATTCGGTTTGTACACTCAGCATTCCATTTTTTTGTGATATAATGACAGAAATCATTAACTGTAAGTTGCAGCCCTCGTGCAAGTCAGTCTCTCTGAGTTATGGCTAACTTTAGCTCTTCATTTCTTATCTGTTATGTAAGATCTAATTAAAGGTGCTTGAGCTCGACCTGATATTTCTAAGATTTTTCTACACTCCTTAATAGAAATGCTTAGGGAGCTTCAAAGATACTGCGTAACAGGAATGACCCAATCACTGCATTAACATGGTTTATGTAAGAAGTTTTGTAAGTCACTCTCAGCTGCATGCTTTCTTTCAGTTCCACTTCTAAGGCAATACAAGAAGTCTGGGTTTCCCTTTTTTGATGCAGAATTGTTGTCATTAATACACATAAGGTTAGTAAAGGAATTATAACTCTTTGCCGTGCCCTGATTTGAATGTGGCCCGTAGAACTGCATTCTTAAAACGCATCCAGCAGGTTTTAATTTAGCTAATTTCTCGGCATGCAAGTCTGGTTTAATCAAAAAGGAAATTAATGTGTGATTACAGTATATGATTCTCTATTGAGTATCTTCACTTCTGGGTTTGGTAGGCATGTGGATATCCCAACATTTTCAAAAATACAGCCTCCCTTGTAGCAAAAGAGCACGCCACTTTGACAGTATGCAAATATTTTAACATATAATCTGCATTTCCTTCATTCATGTTAAAATCCGCTGGAAATCTGGACAGATTCACTATAGACTGACGGCTGTGTTTATCATCCCCTGGTCTCACATTTGCGTCGTACGTTTATCATTTAAATCACAGGGCGTATTGACACATTTTAATTGAAAATCTGGCTTTCTCAAAGTATCACTAGGTCACACTACGTTTAATGTTCCATTCACTTCTTCAAATGCAGGAGAATGGGAATGCAAATGTCTAGAAGATTTTCTTTCACTGTGTAACTTCAAATTTGCTTCAATACAACAAAATTCAAAGGGACATGATTGCAGAAATGCAGTAGATAGTATTTAACATTTGGATTTAGGATTATTTACTGTTTCTAACTGATGACAAAATATTCTGGTGCATGGCCTGAAGTAATTTGGCATATTTAAAGTTTTTAAAGAATATTTAAAATATTATTTAGAACCTTCTTTTCTTTAAAGAATCCTGTGGGTGTTTCCACAAAATATTATAGGCAGTGCAATTGTTTCCAACACTGATAATAAGGAATGTTATTTGAGCAGAAAATCAGCATATTAGAGTGATTTCTGAAGGATCATGTGACACTGAAGACTGGAGTATATATGCTGTAAATTCAGCTTTGCATCACAGGAATAAATACAATTTTTAAATATAGTAAAACAGAAAACAGTTATTTTAAATTATAATCATATTTCATAATATTATTTTTTTTGTACTTTTGATCAAATAAATACAGCCTTGGTAAGCATAAAATACCTCTTTAAAAAAAATACTGTGTGTGTATGTATGTAAAATGTTTGTGTGCTTTGCTGTACCTGCACCAATAGCTGTTTTTATATTATAAACTAGGTTACCATTACGCATCTATAGTGACGTCTGTACCAGTGCAAAAGCTATTTTAAGAGCCAAGCGTCTGTAATATCTGGGAAACAACAATGGCAGCTGTTCTGTTCCTAACATGTCATTGATGTAGACGCTTTTTAGACTGTCAACTGTAGTAGACCACAAATCTTAGACAATCAGTCTGTCTCTCAGGGGTATCCAGTGACTATGGATCCTTGATTCTGTGAAGTCAGCTGCAGCGTCTCTGGTGCTATTACAGCAGTGTGTGTGTGTGTGAGAGTGACTGAGCGATGGGAAACCACGAGAGAGCAGCCTCTGTTCTCCACAAATAGCAGCTGCGGGTGGGGAGGCCCCTGAGGGGTCGTAGTAGGGGGCCGAATGTGGAGTGGGTGTTGAATGGCTGCGCTTGAAGATCTGTTGGTGCTCAATGTGGGTGCCCTGGCCCTTATCCTGCTGCTGTAAACGGAACACGAGGTGACAGAGAAACCTGAAATGACTTCTGGGATGTCGCTGATGGCATTATGACCTCCTAATGATACTGTTACACTTCCAGTAACGCAGGATGTTTAGAACCGGGTGTTTACTGTAAATATACGCTTCTAGTGAAATGTTTGGACACACATGACTGAAAAACTTTTTAGACTCTTGGCTGGTTGTCAGAATAGCAAAATTTCAGTAGTCCATATTCATGACAACTAAATATGCGATTCTCACAGAGAATCGCATATTTAGTTGTCATGAATATGGACTACTGAAATTTTGGTTCCGTGGTATACCACGGAAAAACCTAATATGATATTAAAAATAATCACATATTAAATGGTTGTAGTTTTACCACAATTTTCTAATGTAATTACACTATATTATAAATAGATTTTATAATACAAACAAATTAGTATTCATTGTTTTGTTAAAGGGTTAGTTCATCCAAAAATGAAAATTCTGTCATTAATTACTACCCTCATGTCAGCGTTGTTTACGTTCAGGAGAAAACGCGCGCATGCTTAAAAGCTGCAGTCCGTAAGTTTTGCCTCTTTGTCGCCATCTCTGTTTGAAAACCTGGAATTGCAGCTGAGTGTGGAATTATCTAGCTTGCGTGGGTTGTGAGTCGGCTCGGCTCCAGCACGGATGAATTAATGTTCTGAAGAGTATGTGTGGCAGTCAGTCACCGCACCGGTGTGGATATTTATTGTACTTCGCAATCACAGATTCTAGCCTACGTCTTGGAATATAAACCAAATAAGAATTTTCACTGTATATTGCCATCTGAACAAGTAAGTAACAAGTCTGCCACGTTTGTTCTGACCAACTGAGGAAAAAAGCATTACTATAAATCTCGCTACCAATGGTGATTAAATCTAAAGATCGGTTAGCTCATATCACATCAAACCGTTCAAATTACTTGTTATACTTTATTCTCAAATGATTAATGTTAACAACATCAGCATTGGTGACTATGAGTATAGTGTCTATTAGCGTGTAGATTTCAATTTCTGCACGGTCTAATCTAATTGTCTTCGAATTTCATATTAAGAAATTCTTTTAACCCAAAAAAGCAAATTATGCTCCCTTCGAACTGGTTTTCTTTAAAATACAAATCTTTGTAATCCCAGGCTATCTGTAATCAGAAGCACATTTATAACTGCAATATAATTTAATTTAATTCACATGTGTTTCATAAACACATAATCCTTTATGGATTACAATCCGCCATCAAAATGATACATTTAATTATTCCAGCTGCTGTGAGAAAAGGCTATAAACGATCCGCCA